GGAAATGTATATGCCTTTGTTACAAGTACGCTACCCTGCTGCAGCTTCTACTGACTTCACAATAAAGGTAAAAGATGTACTTGTTATCTTGTTCAGGATATGGGCGAGGGTAGCCAAGCCCAGACTTCCTAAGTCACAATTCAAAGCCTTTTTCCATATTATCACTTGCTAATGAAAGAAGCTTTTATCAAGCACTACAGTCATGACAAGGCTGATAGTTTAAACTCTGCAGGGTCTAGTAGTATCCTCGGTGTTTGAATGTCTGACTCCATTTTCAGTTAAATACATCCAATAAAGTTCTGTGAAGCATCCTTCACCATTTCTTCCTAAAGATGTTATTTACTGACGAGGCGCCAACAGAAGAGCTATTCTCACATTTTATGTTTTATTAAAACAATACCCTAAATCACTTTCTCTTTGTAACTGACACTTTTCAGTAGCACTAGAATGCCAGGAGGAGAAACTCTGGGAGTCAAACGGGCTTTTGTTTTGACAGTTTGCTTTGGAGGGAGGGTTATTGATTTCTTCAAAGAAAATATTGCCCCAGGAGTCTAAATTAGATGGGTGGTTAGACCTGCATTGCACAGTTCCTTCCCTAGCCCATCCCTAACATGCTTAAAATTCTCCACAGCAATTGTTTGTGTTAACAAAATACTCTAAAGAGCAACTTTCTCAGGGTAGTTTGAGACAATGTGAAGGAGACTAGGCATGCAGAAACTAGAGCATTTGTAGGGACCCACATCTCTAAGTCCAAAGATGCACTGTGCTTTGCAGCTCATGTCCTCCTGGGGTCTCAAGAGCTGATGGACTCAATGAGTCTGACACAGAACCTTTTTGAGATATCACCTCACCAGCCTCCTCCTACGTGTTTGTTCTTTCTCATTGAATCACTTACTCCTCCTCCAAAGTATTGTGGCATTCCTCAAGATGGATTTACCAGCTGCCTTGGATTCAATTTCACTCCCACTTTTAAATTTCCAATATAAAAGCCTTTAGAATTTGTGCAAAACTCCATAGACATAAAAAAAAAGCTTTTGTGACATCATAAACTATACCAACAAAAACAGTTGGCAAGATGTTTGGCTCACAGGTAATGAAAGGGCTATGTACCCTTCCTCATTCCTGTTCATAGTCCCTCACTCTCCCACTATTTCTTACAGCTGCTTATCTGCACACATTGAGCAAATCCAGGGGGCTAGGCAGACAGACAGACAGACAGCTTTGTAGGATTTTTACATTTTATTTTGGGACAATTAACTATACTTCTGAAAAAAAAAAAAGTTTTAAAAGTGCCGTAGTACACCGAAGGACTTAAACCACAAGAAGGAATTTTATAAATTCCCCAACACAACTTCCAATGAAAATATAAACACAATATCTCTCTGTTTCCTAGAATTTTGAACAAGTATAGAAGCATACACTGGATATTCTCCAAGTAGAAAGCATACTTTTTTCTTTGCAACTTACATGGCCTGAGAAATATCCTCAGAAAAAACTGTATACAATAATCAGTGTTTAAAGTATTTCTTCTTTTACCCATTTTTAGCTCCCAAGCTCATGATTCCTTTCCTTCTTCTACTTGTTTCCTAAGTTGCTTTCTGATTTCCCACCTACTTCTGGCTTTTTCTGTAGCAGACTTTCCTGCCAAGATACGGTTTGTATCTTCAACACGTATATCTATTAAAAGATTATTTTCAGGATGTGATCCAGGAAAGACATAAAAACAAGGAGGCGAGCACATGCCGAAGTAAACTTAGAAAGCATGTAGTAAGTCTGGTCAGTGTGCATGTATCATCATAGGTATTTGTATGCTACTGTTTTTCAGTGGCATTGCTTTTCATCTGGAGAACTGAGGTACCAGGAAGCAGGTACCAGGAACCCACTAGGAGGGTTCTCAGCTGTACCTTATGTACCTTCTTCGTGTAGATAAGATGCTTTTCTGGCTTAGATTTACCCATGTAAGTAGTTTATTGACCCTATTCCATAAGGATAGTAATTTGTAGTGATAGGAGGGCCTATCAAAAGAGGAAATAAAGACCATTAGTCAAAGTGGAACACTGTGAACCTTATGAATGTTTCACTTGAAATGGAAGAATGAAGAGTTGGAACATTTCAAATGAAGAGAGTCAAATCAAATCAATTATAATATGTAAAACAGTACACCAAGATGCATCGGAAATTTCACAAGAGGCACAGATTAACTTATTTCCTACAATGCATTAAAGCCAACCATATGAAGACTCTTCTTCCACAGTTTCATTTCTAGCAATACTTGGACTTGATTGAAAACTAAACTAAAGTAGCAGCTTCCTCCCTACAAAGCCCAAATCACTAGGCACTTTTTCACGTTTGGGATGCTTATGAGATTTCACATACAATACTTTATGTTGCAGAGTACCTCATCAACACCAGTTTGCATTCTGAACGTACACGACATGAACATCAAGCCCCAGAAAATCTGCAAGAATCTCCTAATACGTGTTTCCCCAACTCATATGACATCATGAACTGAATTTCTTTTGAAAAAAATCCCAAACGTCCACACAAATGAAACAAAACTAAACAAACACAAACCCCCTAAGACTATTCTAATGCAAGAGAAGGCAAAGTATTCTCATACACGTTTATCCCCAGCTACCAACCGCAGTTGCCTGAACACCCTCTGCTGACCCAATTGCCTATCATCCACCAGTGAAGCAGCTCTCACAATCTCCGTAGCCATGGAGAAGTGAGCTTGCACGTATAAGAACAACTCCTCCCCTGCTGAAAATCCCATAGCAAAACCAGCATTTTGACTCCACTACCTTTGCCCTCTTTCAGGTAGTAAAGGAAGAGACCCAAGGGCAGATGTTCTATATTTCCTTTTCCAGTTTTTTCTGTCTGCCTTTTGAATATGTAAAGCTTCTTTGAACCAGCATTGGAGTTTTGCCTTTTGAAATCTTCTGATAGATTTCTGACCTACTTTCCAGAACCCCCAACACACCAAGGCAGATAGAAGGCTGACAAGGTGTTTTTTTCAGTTCCCTTTCCCATCAACTTATATGAACCCCTTCATGCTTTCTTCATTAGTAAGTTGTTGAACAGTGAGCATACATTTCCGCTTTTTCGGTGTGTTATTTGTGACTGGTGGGGAAAGCAGGACCATTCATAGGCTCTCAGGGGAATACAGCAGCTGTCCATCTCTTCTTCAGAAACAACGTCCAGAGTGATATAAGATCATAAATACAAATGTTAAGAGAGAAAAGAACGAAGCTTGAGAGCTTCAGGGAAGAAAAGTGATGGAGTTGATGAGAGATACTATCTACTAGAATGCTCTGGGCAGCTGTGAAAGAATTTAAAAACAGAATCAGCATCATTCAGCTCCTGACACTTAGTGCTTTATCAAGAATTTATATTGAAGACTTCATGGTTAAACAGCTCATCTTAATCACCACTAATCCCAATCCAGGCCATTGCAATTTAAATATAGTAATATTTAACTGTCCTGTTAGCTTCACTGAGTTTCTGACACACACTGATATGGTTGTGCATATTACTCTGTACCACTGTGGCACATGTACAGAGCAGCAAAGCCTATGTAGAACAAAGCCTTAACAATTGTAGCTATTTAGAAGAGTATCTCAAAAAGAAGGTTCAAATGAGCAGCCTTTTTATTAGTTCGGTCAGCACAACTTTATAGGGACTCAGTGTTGTCAGTCTTTTCCTGTATGTGGCTTGCCCAGCTTTCTACTTGCTACAACTCATCAACACAAGTCAACTGTAACAAAACTGATTTTAACATACTCTAGGTGATGCAGCAACCATCTGAACACAAACTATTTGCAAGGTGTAGTCCAACAGGTTCAGGTGAAGGTGTTTAGTTATATATCTGTGGGAAAATGCTGCACAAGATCACCTCTAGACAACTTACTTCTTTAAATGTTTTATTTGGAGACAGCATTTTCCACCCAAGTCTTATTGTGCTTATCATCTGTGTTAGATGGAATGTAGCTAAGTATACCTTTCTACATCTTTCCTTCATTGTGACATGCAAAATCCATGGAATGTGATTCTGGTAATCGAATTAGTACAAATCATACGAATTCAGAAAAGTATTAGTGGGATGGATTTTCAGCCAACCTTCTAAGTTGAGACTGATTGTAGATATGATTTATTGAAAATCAAAATGACATTTTCAGTGTCAGCCAAACTGAAGGTCTGCTGTTAGATCCAGAGGTTAAAGGACTGAAAATAACAGTGTCAATCAAATAAAATACATTCCAATTAATCACTGAGTCTTCTAGTTCAGCAAACAGCATTATTGATACAAGATCGGTTTTCAAAAAGCCACAAAGTTCAGGACATAAGAGTTATAGCATTCATATAAATTCACTTAAACGACACCAGAGTTAGGCTAAGTCCTTGCTTTTCACTGATTCCAATTTCTTCAAGAAAATTCTGTGTGCTCTAAAGTTTGTATTTTTTCAGCCACATCAGATGGTCTGATACTACGTTATCTTTCTCTGTAAACGATGCTCCTTCACTAATTCAGCAATGCACTTCAGAGAACGCCAAATTCATATGTGTAATTTACAGTGTTTATTTTTGATGTTACTAGCTGATATAGCTAACACAATCAGGAGAATAGCGTATCGTAAAGCGGAATAGGTATTGTGTAAGCAATAAGGCAGGATTTCTGTTTCACTTTTGCAAAAACGTTTTTCCCGGGAGCAACAGGAATGCAAGGTCTCAAGGAATTGCAATGATTTACAAGGAGTCAGACGCAGAAGCCACAGTCTTGGGTGGTGAAAACGAACTAGGTAACCTCTTCAGGCAGGTGAAAACCACACTGCTAAGCACCGTGTAGGGCAGTATTATGAAATCAGGACAGAGTACAGTAAACCCCTTGAAAACGGGTCAGTGGACTTATGATAAGCTTTCTTCATTTACGTTGGGTGGGAGAAGGGGAAGGGGGAAGGGGAAGGGAGAAGACATGTATTAATATATAACTCTGGACTCACCGATTTTGGCCAAGCTGGCCACAAGTATCCAGAGTGCAATGATATAAGGCTCCTTGACGTGATCCCATTTGAAAGAGACGATGGCAAAGCTTTGAGGCTGGGTGCTATTTTTAGAGCTCTCCGAGCTTCTCTGTCCCAGCGCCGCTGGGAGAGCCATCAGCCCCAAGAGGAGCCCCACTCCAGATACCTGCCTCATCTCCAAGCCACACACAACCAAAATCCTGCTTCCCCTTCCCGCAGAAATCCCGCCTCTCCGCAGCTGCTCGGGGGCGAGGTGCTCGTCTCGGCAGAGACGCTCCCGACGGCCGTGGACGGC